CGTACTACTCCTGCTTCTGCTTCTGCTTGTGATACTGCTACTGCTACTGCTACTGCTACTGCTACTGCTAGCGCTACCGCTTTCGCTGCTGCTGCTGCTGCTGCTGATGCTGCTGCTGCTGTTCCCACTGCCACTGCCACTACCACTGTGACTGCGACTGCTACTGCTACTGCTGCGGCTGCTGCTGCTGCTGCTGATGCTGCTGCTGTTCCCACTGCCACTGCCACTGCCACTGTGACTGCGACTGCTACTGCTACTGCACTGCTACTGCTACTGCTGCTGCTACGGCGACTGCTACTGCTACTGCTGCTGCTGCTGCTGCTGCTACTGCTGCTACTGCTGCTGCTGCTGCTGCTGCTGCCGCTGCTGCTGCTACTTAGTGCTACTGCTCCTACTGCGATATCCGCCCTCTCGGCTACGATGCTCCATCAAATCTTTCGCTGACTTTTTGCCCTTCGCAGCTGTTCCCGCATTCTTTCCCAGGCCTGGAAAACAAGCGGTGGCCCTCTGCGAAGTCAATCAGGCGGTCGAGGAATATCCAGGAGTCAGTGTCCTCCGGGGCAAGAAGGCACCATGATACTTTGGCATTTTGAGCTGACTGCAGAAGCTGCCAGGACGGAAGTGCCACTGCCCCAAACGGTCGACGAGGTGCAGCTTTCAACAGCAAGTGGAAGCTGTAGTGTGTCACCGCCTGCACATTGCTCTCAGGATTGGAACTTTAGAGGTGTGTGTACATGTATGTAATCGAAGGAACGTTTAACCCTCTGAACTCGCAAATCCCTTGCGCACTCAGTCGATTCGCAAAGTGGCTCACTCATGCATTCATCTCAGAAAGAACAAAGTGAGCGGCATCGGAAAGCTTCCGCTAATGAACCTTTTACACATGATGATGATTGACGAAATGACTTTCAGATTGGCAGCGTGGGCGTTATCATCCGCTATCGCAGGCTTGCCCACTCTGATCTGGCCCCATGTCGGGATTTCCAGAACGACACACAATTTGGCACGGCACAGATGACTGCAAAGAGCGACTGAAAGAACCAGGCGACGACAGATTGCGGTAACCATGCAGTGTCAATGTCACTGTTCGGCCAGTGATGAAAGCAACACATTTAAGGGTACTTTGAGCTGGCCTTGTTTGCAGGTACAGGTGGTTGATCAGACCACCATCCCCTGTCTGGGTTGGCACATGTATCCAAGATAGGCCTGTGCCCCCTGCAGCAAAAGTTGTGGTCTCACTCAATCGTCGCCATGTCCAGGCGTGCACACACACACACACGCAAGCACGCACGCACACACACGCACGCGCACAGAAAGGCAGCATATAATTAATGCATACATATATACATACATACATACATACATACATTCATTCATGCATACATGCATACATGCATACATGCATGCATGCATACACTCTCCCATGCATGGAGACCACTTCATCAATGAATTTGTCGCCGCTGAGGCCAGGACATACCGGATCCCCTGACGAACTTTGTGCGCAAGATGATCATAGTCACTGCTGCACCTCCAGGGAGCTGCTGACATCGCGCGTGCGCTTGATTCAGAGGGGTGCGAGGTAGTCCGACAGCGCCTTCGCAAAATCGCGACATCCTTCTCGGGAGCCTGCATGGACGAAGTGCAGGCTGATGACTATGGTGCACTATGACAACACGACAGGAAGGGCAAAAAAGCAAAGACAAAAAACAAAAGACAGAAAAGCAATAACCAAGAAGCTGCTGCGGGCTAAACTCGACTATGTCACCTGGCATGCACACATACATGTGTGCTTGCAGTCGCAAACGTGCCCTGTGGATTGGGCAAGAAGGAGCATAGCACGTTGCGTTTCTGATCGTTTCTGCGTCAGTCGCCCGTTGACTTGCCACGTTTATGGCCTTTGCGGACTTTGAAACTATCGAAGTTGTGAGCTCTGTGTGCAAACGGAAAGGCAAAAGCTGTGATCTTCTGTTTCTGCACCTCCCTCTCCACTGAGAACGTCACAAAATTCTGCAAGGTTCCAACAAAAGCTACACACTGTCTGCTCTGTGGGCTACAAGCAGAGAGTGCTATCGCTCTTCGCATTCAGCCCAAAACCAGAAGCTGGGACCAAAACAAAGCGGTGTATGGCTGCGCGTGACCACGTGGAGCCTCGTCGGCTGCCTCGTTACCCAGCAAGAACAGGTACTTCACCGTGCGGTTGCTCTGGCACCTCAAGTGCAGAGTTGCTTCGACACCCAACATCCGCTTGTCCTGCCTGCCTGGCACACTGGTGTGTTTCGGGGTCAATGTCCAGTGTCCACGTCTCTCTGACCTCAGCCGTCAGGAATCTGATTGATCGTGTACACCAAACCTCTACCGGAAATCGCAAATCCAAGCTCCAACGTCGTGGCCTAGTCGCAGCATCCATGCGCTGTTGGTCCCGCTCTGCGCTGGCTGGGATGACAATGAGCAGATCATAGTGCCTTTGATTCATAAGCCCATGGATGGTGAGTCAAGGGGTGCTCCATGCTGAAACGATTGGTGCAAAGCACCGGAGCAATCCGGTGATCGCGTGCAAGGAAGGACATCGAGCCTCTAACCTGCACACTTCGCCTTCCACGAGGAGTCGACACCGAAACTCTTCTCGAGCAGTCCAGGTCACTCTCGCTCCTCCCTGCCTCAGTGCACCCAATCAAACAGTTCCGAGAAGTAGCTACTAGGTCGACATTGTGCCGACTTCATGCTCATTGCGTCCACGGGATGCCTGCCGAGGAACGAAGCAATCGCGACCGGTGTGTTCGCGAAGAGCTGGCACGGCGGGAGCTTCAAACGAAACGGTGCTTTCTGCGGTTTTGGACGAACTCGATCGAGGCGTCGAGGCGAGCCGTCCGATCACGTGTCAAAACATAGAAGTTCTCCTCATTTCCTCTCTTCGCCTGCAAGGAGCCCTGATTCTCGCCCCCCAGGGCCTGTGGCCGTGGCTGGCTCCGGTGCTGTCGACGGACACCTGTCTCAGAATGTCCGAGTCCGGCTCAGCGGAAAAGAAACAGACTTTTTCCCCTGAACATGCGAACACAACCCCATGGGCAGACCTGGACCAGAGTTGCCTTTACGGAAGCACGAAAGGCGCTCTGTGCAAGGAGGCACCAAAGGCAATACCTGGCCGCGGACAGAACGCTTTGGCCGCACGTCAGAGGCAATCTTGGCTCAAGCCAGAAAAACCTGGAGAACATCTCGTGGCAACTGCTGCTTCTGTGCGCTGAACACCATGACCAATCGAAACCGGTCGGGTGCCTCTGGAATAGTCCTGACTTAAGCATGGCGAGCACAGCATGGAATAATCGATGTATGCTATACCTACCGAGGCTTTGAAAAGCATTTGCTCTCGCTCGCTTTGCGGGATGATGAGATGATGCGCCTTGCACGTTCAGAAACTAGATACTGCGCCGCTTCTCGATTTGGGCCGATACGGCCAATCGCATATGGAATGAACCGACTCGCACAAGCCTTTTCACCCAAACCCAGCAAGCATCTGCACAGAAGAAAGACCAACCTCTATCTCGAAGGATTCCGAGTCTATCTCGGCGTACGGTGCATCCTCACAGGACTGCAAGCATTGGGCACCAGTTACGTTGGTAGTGTGCGCAATCATTGAAAGAATCCATGCCCATAACTCGGCTGACAGACGGTAAGAGCTCCTCCTCATCGATTCGATACAACGCCAGATCCTGTGTTGTGCTCAACATGCAGCCGCTCACATGCTCCTCCATGCTCCGTTCGGAAGGATTCGCTGAAGACTACATGCACCACAACGACCAGAAATCTGGAATCTGATAGCACAAGAACTGCTCTGAGATCCAATTCACAGATCCTGACGCTTCTTGAGTTTGGCAGCCACTTCGTCCGCTTCCTTGTGCCAGCTTCTGTGGCAAATTTTTGTCATCTAGCAGCCAGGCACAAGGCGCTAATGGAAAGAACACTTGGGGAACTTTGGAGTCATGGATAGAGGCTGGCTGCAGAAAGGTCGCAAGGTTGGCGTGGATCGACTCCTTCAAGACATTTTGCTTGCAAAGGGGATATACCGATATACCCCATGTCTCTTGCAGTGCTGCCGCGAGACCGTGCGCAAGAAATCGGAGTCGGACTCATCATACTTGCAGCACTCGCAAAACCTCGACTGTGTCTGTCCCTGAATGTGTGTTTTTTTCGGCATCAACGTCAGAGCCATGGAAGAAGACAGCTGCTTCAAGCTCCAAAAGTTACTTGCCACCAGTCGCCTTGCAGAAAGCCTGTTGGGATTGGGGGGCCGGGGGCCACTGACTCTCAAGGCTTCGTCTACATTGGGGCACTCGGATCATGCCAGCCACGCGGCATGTCTCATGGCACTCAAAGTTGGCGCATGGCGCTCTGGATAGAAGCGGCTCTGGTTTGTCTGAAAGCTTGGAATGCTAGTTTGGGCATGCAATGTCCAGGTCTGGTCAAACGCCTCTTTGTTGGACTGTATCCTCATGTCCAGGCTTTACGTCCTGAAATCAGCTACCGGACAGTTCTGGCCATTCACCGCTTGCCTGCAAACACGAAGAGCCCCGTGACCACCACTCGAGCTGCTCACTTTTTTTGAGGCGGAGTGCTGCTTCTCGCATGACTTTCATCTGCAGGGAACCGGGGGTCTGTCACTTGTCGGAGACTTCACAGCAACCGACAGGCCGCAAACTCAAAAACCCTCATTGACCATCAATGTGTCAGCCTCTCTCTGTCCTGCTGGGTCCAGCGTCCCATACGGCTCACCATGAATTTCAAAGGCATCCCCTATGCAGGCCATCAAGGCAATGCCCCCAAGCACCTGTTCAGAGCGCTCTGTGCGAGACCAGCAGACATGCGATGCGAAAGATGCTGCCGAGAGCGACAGGCTCCTGTAGGTACAGTCTTCGAACGTGGCACTTTTGTTTGCTTTGGTTCCACCAAGTCACTCCGATAGCGAAGTTTCGCGGGTCCTGCAGCAGATCCTCGAGTCTTTTGTCCTGCAAAGGGGCCACGCACAGATGCGTGTGTGCTTGGCTACTTCTGCACCAACTGTTCATGCTAGAAAAATCCTCCTTCATAACTTCATGTTCTGAAAGTCGCTAGAAGGACTTTCACTTGCGATGCTGCATCACAACTCGCTTGGCGAGGTTTAGTCGGCTGCACAACACATCCTCAAACTCGCAATAGCATTGGCTGAGAGCCATCCGTGCTGGTGCCTGGAGGCTGCCCAAGAGGGTGATCCAGCAGATCTGGGAGAAGCCTCCCAGTTGGCCCGCCAGCCTTCAGGTCAGGGATCTATAGACCACCTTGACGGCTAATCCCCCCCTAGTTGCTAAAGACTGCGGAGGGATTTCTCTTTTCTGCGGAGCCGCAGGGTCATTCCGAAATGCATGGAGGCTGCGAGGGCCACGGTGTAGATGTGCAAGCTCTTGCCTCGGCTTGCAGCTTGAACTGGAAGCTTTAAGGAAAAGCTGATTGGTTTGGGCTGTCAGCGAGTCGCTCCAGAGCAAGAAGGGCAGCAAAAGCTCCAGAGCGAGGGCGGAGCAAGCCAGGACCGTGGTAACGCTTCGCCGCATCGGCTCCGTCCAGAAAATAAAATGCCACAGGCCTTTGAGAGGGGATGTATCCAGGATGGCGACGTCGCGATACAAGGTCGATCCCTGCACCCAGGAGATTTTCGCTTTGAACTCGCCGGCCCAGAAGTAAAGGAGGCTCATTTGCAGGCGCAGCAAGGACAAAGCCCAGAGAGAGCCGCCACCTATCCAAAATCTGAGGGCAGCTTGAAGGGCCTTTCTAGCTCACTAGCTGTGGGGGTGGAATGAACGGACACTAAGAGGACTGGCCGACGACAACTAAGACTTTTAGCGATCCACCACGGCCACGTGTGCACCACCCTGGCAGAAAGCGCTCCGAGACCGACTTCAAGGAGAAGCACTCGTCGCAGGGAGTAAAGGCCAGGATCAGCAGCCTTCCCAAAAACGATTCGGTAAACACGAGAGCCTGCGAGCCCAGTTGCGAGACGGCTCAGACACTGCGTGCCAAATGCAGTCCGAGGAGCACCATAGCTGCATGTTGCCTCACTGCCGTCGCCACACAGCCGACACACAGGCAGTAGAATTCTTTCTGACCAGACACTTTAAAGTCAAAAAAACTCACAAGTCTGACAGGTTGCGTCGGGCAATCAGGGTCGAAGCCGTCGCGAGTGCAACCCAAGCAAAAGCCTGCAGCTGCCAGAGCCGCGGCCATAGGGGAGAAGATGCCCAGGGCCAGGCACGCCAGTGCCAGCACCAGCACCAGAGTCATCACGCCTCCTCGCAGGCGAGCACGGCGGACTAGGTTTCAGATGTGAGAGAGTCTGAAACCCCGGTGAAGCCTCCTGGCCATTGATCTGGTGCGTACCACATCATGATGGGCGTTTCCCCGCCCCAATCTGGATTCACCACCAACCAGTAAGCAATGAGGATTCGAACCAATGCCAGGGTGGCAGATGGGCCGCGATGATCCTTGATCGTCCCCCATTGCCCCCGCCTCCCCGCTCACCAAAAAACAACGCTCTCTTACGCTCTGACATCGAGGCTCCCATCCCATGCCCATGACTTCAGGCCCCGGAAGTTTGCTCCCGGGCCAGGCACTCCGAGCGCACATCCATAGGGCGACTGGCAAAGCCAGCGCGAGGACGATGTATCCAAAGGGGGTGAGCTTCGTGTCGTCTTTGTCGCCAGCGAACATTCCCCAAGGTCCATACAAAAGGTCTCGGCCTCCACAGGAGTGGCCCCGGCACCCTATTCCACGCTCTCCTCCTCTTTCTTCTTCATCACGACACGAGGGGCTTGTCAACCCCCCGGCCCCCTTTGCCCCATGAAAGGATCATAAGAGGTTTCCCCAGGGTAATTCTCTCTCTCTCTCTGTCTCTCTCTCTATCTCTTCTTCTTAGGGGCAGGTCACGCCCCCCGGCCCATAGGGCCCCCCATGACTTATGGGGCTTTCGCGGGATTCCAGTACACACTCTCTCTCTCTCTTTCTTTCGACAGGGTTGTGGGCCCGAGGGTTGCCCCCTGGCCCGCGTGCGAGTGCGCCCCCGACCGTTTTGGAAGGAGTGGAACGAAAAGCTGGCACCATCAAGGCCATTCTTAAGAGCGGAGAGAAAATGCAACATACCCAAACAATGGAAGCACCACAGTACGAGTAGATATATGGCCTTCTGGAAAAGGTGCGTTGCGCAGTAGAGGCAGGGCAGGGCCCCCTGAAATCAGGCAAGCGCGACCAAAATGAACCAAACCGCAACCCCCAGAGCGGACCCCTCATAGGCTGCTGATCAGTGCGATGTGCCGGCAACGTAATTAATACTGTAAAGCGCAAGGCATTTTGCCCCGGAGAGGGGGCTTGGTAAGCATGTTTGGGATGGCTCCGGCGGCCCGTCAAAAAGTACTGGACAAGATTGTGCTTTCAGGGGTTGACCCCCCTACGACAGCTGATCACATTGAAAGAGTTGATCGACACATGCAAGCCACTTAGGACTTTTCGTCCTGCACGAACTCTGAGTAAAAAGTGGTGGTTCCCCCCTGGTGCGCGGTAGTCGCCTCTCTCACTGCGTTCACTCCTCTCCGTAGAGCTCCTCCGCGAAATAGTAGGCCGCACCGTTTCAGCTTGGGGTTTGTCGCCGTCGGGGGAGGGGTGACCCTCTGTTTTCCTGTCGTCTGGGCAAGGGAGAGCGCTCGCGTTGTCGGCGTGGTCGAGGAGAGCAGTCTCCCTGGCGTGGCGGGTTGGTCCACCTGGCTTGATCCTGGACCAGGTTCCCATTGCCCTTGGTTGTTTGCGGTGATTCCTGTAAGATGTTTTGAGTGCCACTCGATAAGCCGCCCACATTGATGCGTTCGTGGTGTACTTGTCAAGCTGGTAGGTGACTCTCCCCTGGGCATCTCGCTGTTGTAACAACTCGTGTAGCCTGGCTCTCTGTTGTGCCGTCAAGGTAGGCGGGGGTCCAGTTGGCGAGGGCGGTGCGGCACTTGCTGCCGTTGTCATTCTGTCATGTCTGGGTTCGTTGTAGTCCTCGCTGAGTTGTTTGCTTTCGCACGCCTCATTTCCAGCTGTCTCTTTGTCGTGGCAGGGCTCCTGTCGTCGTCGCCGAGATCCTTGCAGCTTTCGGAGTTTGCCCCTCCGTCTGGACGCCACGGCATAGGTGCATCACGGTTTTCACACGCTCCATCCTCGAAGACATCAGTGTCAGGGTGAAGTCCTTGGTGTCGGCTGTGCTCGGGAGGTAGTGGTTCAAGTAGTGTCCACACGCTGGTCTCCGAAGGCTCCGAATGGGGGTTATTCCCCTTGTCATCTGCCTCTGCATCGGTTGAGGTGGGCAAGGCGTCATGGTCGGGGTCTTCCCCGTTGCGATCTGCATCCTCTCCGGCAGGGCTCGTCAGGAGCAGTGCTGGCGTACGGGTCGTGGCTATCGGTCGCAACTGTATGCTTTGTCACTGTGCCACTTCTGGCGGCTTCTTCGCGGGCCAACTGTTGCTGAGGAAGTTGTGGTTCTCTTGGGTCGGGTAAGGGATGTAAGGGTTGACCACGTCGGGCTTCAGGTAAGTCAGCTTGGGCACATAGAGGGAACTGCTTCTTGTCGCGTCAGGGCAGGCGGTGCAGGTATAGCGCGTGCGGCACCTGCTTCCAGAAGGGAGATGCCCCTGATAATGCCACCTCGCTTCGGTTGTGCTGGTCGAATTGGTGGCGGAAGGTTGCACTCTGGTTCCTGAGGTTTCGAGGTTGCCCCCGTTGTTGAAGTCGGAGCTGGTTGGGCTGCGTCTTGGTCAGGGCCAGTGCTTGCCGAAGACCGCAATGACGAGGCTCGTTCTGAGGGCAGTGGGGGCGGCGTCAACGCCGCTGGAGGACTTGCCATGGCCCTTATCGGCGTTCTTCTCGGAGGGGAGGACTTCTTGGCTGTACTCGGCATACCGAAAAGGCGGCGCAAGGGATCCTCAGCCAGGGCCAGATCTTCACTGTCGGCATCATCCTGTACCTGAGGCGAAATCCTCTGTTGGCGGCTTTTCTTGCCTCGGAACTCGGGCGGGGGCGGTGGCCGGAGTGAGGTTCTCAACTCCGAAGAAGATACAATTTTAACAGCCAAGGGATTGTGTCTCTGGTGATGCTTTTCGCCTCGCTCTGAGGTCCAACATCCATTGCCGAGGGCCTTACCCCTGGTGGAGAGCTCGGAGGCGTAGCTTTGGAAGTTGTGGCAGTCGCTGTTGGATCAGAGGTAGTTTCCCCCTTGGAAAGAGCTTGCTGGACTGCTGTATCGATCTTCTTTTGTCGCGCGAAGGTTCCAAGTTCTTTGAGGTCACGGCTCTCACATCCATGAAAGATGCTTTGGGGGTCCCTGCCTCCATGATATGACGGGCATCTTTTGCAGCGGAGGCACTTAGGAGTTTGCTCCTGCTTTGGGGCCATGATGTAGACGAAAGGCGACGATCACTCCCTCCTTGACCTTGCCAAAAATACGACCTGTAAGTACAGGTACTCCCTCGCCCAGCAAAGACGGCCTGCAGAATCGGATGGGCGGGGTAGCCCCCGACAAAGTGTCGCCGATATTGTTCAGGTAGTTGTAGAGGAAGTCCCGAATGAAGACGAAAGGCAGCGGTTGCCGTACGGGACCGAACCTGACGAACTCGTCGAGGTCAGCCTTCGCGAGGATCAGCGCAAGGGTGCCGTACACCCTGTTCAGCAATGCGTCGGAAGAGAAGGAACGGCGGAGTGTCGAAGGGACAAAATGGTAGTCCTGCGGGGGACTGAGAAGAAAGGAGAGGAAGGGTCACGGAGGGCCCCCCGCAGGCTTGAACCGCTCACGGCTTGAGCCAAAATGGCTACTCTTCTTCTTCTTCCCCAGGGCATAGGGGGCGTGTCAGACCCCCCGCCCTATTGGCCCCCCATATGTTATGGGGCTTTCGGGGGTGTGAGAACTTTGTTTCGAGTATCGGTTTTTCGATATTTTGTAATTAAACAACACAAGACTAAGAATCGGAATTCCCCCGAAACTCGAAAAGATCAGTACTTGTGGACGCCTGAATTAGAGTTACATCTCCGGAGGGCTTGCAAATCAACAAGACAAAACCTTCCCCCGCATCCAGATGTAACAACTGGAGTGACTTGCAGGTGGGTTCGCACTCTTACCAATGGTGAACATCATCGCCAGGTTACAACACATAAATAAAGGTAAGAATGATGGTATGAGTGCATCCCCCTGTTGAGTATCTTTCCCATGTTCCTCATGGCTACTTTGTGGCAAGCAGCCAAGACGGCTGTTGTTCATGGGAGTCGAACAAGGTACACTGCCGTGTTGGTGCATACAGCGGTCGGAGCACTACACAAGCACTGTGTGGAATGAAATGTCCCAGAATCTACCCCCTTGGATAGGAAAGGAAAGATGTGCTTGCTGAGTCCCCGGCCAATGCTGCTCCCATGTAGGCTGAAGGGCACTTCCAAATCCAAATGAAATACGACAACAATCCCGCAGACCCCTCTGTCCCCTTCGGCTCTCGTTTAGCTACAACGCACAGCTAGTTAGCAAGTTGATGCAGGAGCACTTACTTTCACCTGGAGGGTTTTTTGTATGGGAACAAGCAGACGGCAGTACACATAGGCTAGGCAGGCTAACAAGGGTAGGCTAGTTAGTCCCCTCGCAAGTGATGTCAAGCTTTCTGGAGGTTTGGGTAGATAGCATCTTTGCTTTTTCCGCGAGGGGCAGTACAAAACAACGACACAGCACTACATAAGGGCCTAAAGGCTACCATGTGTAGACCACTTCCCGTCGCGAATGGCATCGACGGTACATGAAGCTACAAATCTGTCGTCCTCAGTCACTCTGCAAGGTTCAGGACGTCCCCCGCAGGGGCAGTGGAAACAGCGATGAAAACAAGCTAAAGTAGGTCAAACCATCTATGTCGCAGCGTGACGAGGCTCGTTGTGCTTGGTTGTGTCATGGACATGTGCCACCACCTGCCAGCAAACGAACTGAGGTCCCCGACGTGGAAGGAAAGTTAACAACGTAGAAAAGTTACAAACAAGGCAGCATGCAGATGACCAGTAAATGGCTAATCTCTCTCTCTCTCTCTTTCTTTCGCCAGGGCTGCTCTCTCTCTCTCTCTCTCTCTCTCTCTCTCTCTCTGTGCCGAGTTGCCAAGCACAGCAGATAAGCCGGGGGTCCTGCACGGAAGCGTCCCTAAACAGGCCATGGGATTTCTGGGCCTCTGTTGCAAGCAAGCCGCAAGAGACAAATAAAGATCCCAAGGAAGGTAACGCGTTGGATTGGGCAACCTCGGACTCTGAGTCCAAAAAAGCTCCACAGCTCCACTCTCCGAAGGCAGGGAGGGAGCCCGGGGCGAGTTCGTGGAAGGCGTACATGATGCAGATGAAGGCGGCGCCGCCGAAGGCACAGGCTCGGTTGAAGCGCAGTGCTAAAAACGCCTCCCAGTCCTGCGAAAATGAGGGCCGAAGAAGGCTCCATTTTAGGCCCGCTTAGTTGGACCCTCGGTCCTCGAAGCAGCTGGGCTCGCCTTTCCCGAGCAGCTGCACATAGGCCAGGGTCAGTGTGACAAGCAGACTGGTGCTGCATGCAGTGAGGATCCAATAGCGCATCCCAGTCTGGGTGCGCAGAAACAGTTGGACCTTAGGTAGGGTCGGTAGTGTCTTTCACACCAGTGTTGCCCACCATGCCAAGAGGCATAGGCAATGTAAGCTGACAGCATCATGGCCAGCAAAGACAGCATCCAGGCAAGCTCAAGGCCTACCATGAAGATGGCGCCGGAATGTTTCCAGGATATTGGGGGCTTCCCAGGCGGCTTGCAGTCACCCAACTCACATCTCCTTTCTCCCAAAGTACTTCAACCGACCTTCACAGGATCCATCGCCCGCCTTCGGCCCCTCTGAACTGCAGAATGAAGACGATAGCCTGTGTCAGCAGGCTGACAAAAGCACAAGACCCGACTCAATTTCTGACTGAGGCCAGCGGCAAACTGAGCGAAGCATATCCACAGAGCATGAGGAAAAGTCCAGCCTCACGCAGCGAGAAGTTTTGGGAACGATGGGCTTCGATGCGCAGCAATGCACATGCCACATGTTGGTGAGGATGCCCCGGCACTGTCTCGTAAGCGCCATGCCTCTGACGCTCAACGCCAGCTTTGGTTCCCCGCCCTCCTTCGTGCCAGATCCGTTGCAAGAGAACGACGCCGTTCTTGAAAAAGGGAAGGCAAAAGAGTAAAGAGAAAACTCGTTTGTGAGGCTGCCTGGCACGCTCCCAGGGCTGCACCCGACACGAGGCAGGCCACTAGCGCAGCTGCTTGTGGATTCTCTTTGCCCGCGTAGCCGGTCGCCAGCCCCAACAGCAGTTGCCACACGCAGCCCTGCAGAACTTGGCACACTTGGGAACAGCTCCCTCTGCCCTCAGACTCGGATCCTTCGGATCCGAGGCCTCCGTCCGTGCCGCTGAGTGCAGCCCAGAAAGATGACAGCAGGATCAGCACATAGTACCCCACGGTAGCCGATGTGATGCCGGCAGGCCTGCAGTGCTTCGGTACGGCTGTCTTCATGAGGCGCTTCTCCGGCTTTGTCTGCCGCTCTGATGAGATGTTAACTCTCATTAGGTTCCCGCGCTGGAGCAGGCTGCCAACATCTTCGTCGGCGAGGACTCCAGAAATCTCTTGCGCGCAGACACTCGCGTGGCCCAGGCCGGCCACGGACAGAAAGAGTGCCAGAAGGAGCATGGCGCGACACTGGCTGAGCGAGAGCCCTTCGGGAGCCCCCCTGACAGAGCTGAGGCTGAGGATGGTCGAGGATGTCTTTCCCTTACTCAGTTGGTTTGCTCAGTCCGGGTCTCCCGAAGGCATTTCTGAGAGGAGGCGGTGGAAGTACGGTGGACGACTGAGGCAAAAACCGCCAGCACAGACCAGATCTATTCGGCGAAGCAGTGACCCCTACTTACGACTTTCCTCTCAGGTGAGGACATCGATGGGAAAAACCGCATATCTGTCTTCAAAGGCCCTTCTTTCCTGGCTAGTCTGCCTTTCTTGCCCTGCTGCCTCCTGCTGTCAACAACTAGGCATGCAATCATGTCACACGGTGCTCCTGTATGCCTGTATGGTCATGCTACAGTCATGTTCGTCAAACTCTGCGTGGGTTTTCGAAACCTCTCTCGACGACCTCCTTAGCTACTTCAGATGAAGCTACTAGGCGGTTCACGGGAACAGCTTCCGAATGGCAGTCGGCTTTCGTGACTTGGGACTTGGGAAACAAAGGATGTGCCTGGTACCAAAGCTCTACATCCCAGTCGACAGCAGGCATCCAGATCTGCATTCAATTGCCCAGCAAGGTTTTGACTCAGATAAGGCATACATGGCATACCACTCCGTCTGGGGCCCGGCATGTGCAAGCCGCAATACACACGGCTTTCATGCTGCCCGTTTGGGTGTCAGCATGCCGTGTGACTTGAAACATTCGCATGACACAGCGACTGATAGCTACAGCACCGTCAAACTGGTAACCAGTGTGTGCACAAGCCAGCTTCAGCGAAGGACGACTGAGCCCGAGTAAAACGAAGACCTGCCGAAAGCCGTCCCACTTGTTTCTTACACGTCTGACACTTCGCTGGGCTCCTGATCTGGGAGACTTACACTCCTTCAGACCTGCACTCCTTCGCCTAGGCTTAGGGCCTAGGCCCGAACAAAGCTGCTCAGAGACATTCCGAGCTCAGGGATGGAGAGATTCGCAAGCTTTGCCATCAGCAAGGAATTCAAATCTTCTACAGAAACTGCGAACACGGTATTACGGATGTTGCTCCTGACCAAGCCGTCGGGAATCAAGAAGATGCTAGCGCTGCCTGTAAGTGCATGTTGCAGCTCACGCCCTTCTGAAAGTCTCCTTTGCTCTGGAAAATTGCTGATGAGATGAACCATGCCTGCCTCGATCCCACTTCCAGCGATCTCAGCAAAGGTCTGCTGGAGCCCCAGCTGTACCGAGGCCCAATGATCTTGTGCCACGGTGAGATTGAGAATCTCACCCACGAAGGTTCCGTCAACGGTCGATGTGATGTGGGGGCACCAATGACTTTCCTGATACCAGAGGCAGTCCTCCATGTTTTCGCAGGTCCGCCCTAGAGGTCTGGGGCATGCTGTGGTTCTCTTGTTTGTGTTGCAAGTGCAAGTCTCAGGGCAAATGTTCTCCAACGTCTTCATCTCAAACTCAAAGACGTTTGAGTTCCAAGTCGTGCAGCTTCCGTAGTCGATGCCCTCTGCGGTCAAGTTCGCTCCAAACTGGCATCCGTAGTCCCACATGGCCTGAGCGAGTTTCTCAGCTTCCGCTTTGCCCTTCAGGTCTGCATCTGACCGAGAGTACATACGAAGCTGGTCCACCCACGCCGCCCACTGAGGCAAATCGCGAAGCTCTGCTGCACTTCGCTCCTTGCAGACACTCTGTCTACGAACAAGCCTCCAGGTGTTGTGCAACTGGCATGGGCGGTTCTGAGCGCCGTATGAGCAGCCCTGGACATTCATGAACTCACCTGCCGGAGTGGTGCAACCGCATGTCTCCGGACACAACATGCGAGCGACGAATCCAACACCTCCATCACCCTCGTAAGTGGGCAGCTTGGTGATGGAGGTACAGTAAGGCTTGGCATCACTGCAGTTGCGTATGCCGCTGTCTTTCAAGAAGAACTGCAGGTAGCTCAACATTTTGCCTTCGTTGCCAATGTCACCACAACCTGGATTCTCCGAATCCAAGATCTCATCAAGAGTTCGAGTTGCTGCGGTCGCAAGAAGTGCAACGTCTGTGAACCAGATCCCATACTTCGTGTCATTCTGCTCTAGATCAACACCTATCCTCTCAGCCTCCCCGACGGCAATCGTCTTCACGCTGTCATCATCAGCCTCCCAACCACCGCCAAAGGTTGGTGCCATCAACATGATCCGGCGCTGATCCTGCATCCACACAAAACTTGTCTGCCCTCCGCACATCGCCGTCTGAACCTCAATGAGGCTACCCACCATTGGCTGAAGCATAGTGAGGTACACGATAAAGAGCAAGGTTGGAATGACAAGAGTCATGAACAATGACTTCAAATCAGCACCGCGCCATCGCGGCAGGGATGGCATATGTAGTGGGTCGAGCTGGTGGACCAAATGTCGTCCAGGTGTGGTGGCTAAAGCATCGAAAAGCAGGTCGTCGATGTCCAGGATGATGCCCAAAGCAACCGCCTCATCAAAAACAAACGCGCGAAAAAAACAATTTCATACAGGGAGTGAAGCAGAGCCAAATGCGTGCACAGTCGCATTGAGGATAAGCTCCGTGACGTCCACGGTGTAGACCAGAAAGAAGGTGCCCACATAGACCAAGAGAGCAGCGGAGAAGAGGCGATAAAGGAGTAGCACGAAGGATAAGGTCTTCCTCCTTCCGCCCATCGCCTTCAAGCGGTAATGCGTCACTTTGGTAAAGGGGTTCTCCCTCGTATCCAAGGTGGTCGGACCCCGAGGTAGGGCCGAGACGCTGCGGTGCAAGGCCAAGGCGTGGCTCACCTCCTTCGAAATGCTAAAGGGAATACACCAGCAATGGAGTCTCATGCCAACTATGGTGATATGAGTATGTATGATTCTTATACGATGATATGCTTCGAAGTATGATTCTTATTCTCTCCTTGGCCACCATGAGGTACCAGCAGACCAAGGCCACGATGCAGAGCAGCTCTCCTGTGAAGAAGGCCTCAAAGCCCTCGGCATCTGGCTTCAGGTACTTTCCGATGTGCTCATAGAGGGCCATTTGGATGCCAGACTCCTGCAAGGACTTGTCCAGGGAACACACCCGCTCCACCAGGGAATAGCGTGACACCTCATCATAGGAGCTGAGGGAATGGCCCGCTGAACGCCTCCAGCGTGTCGCGTCCTGAACTGTTGTTTCGTCGATCTCCGGATCGATGAAGTTGAAGTAGGCGATCCCTACGAAGACGATCTGCATGACGACGTTCACCACCGCAAGGAGGAAGGTCTGGAAGGAGCCAAAAGGACCCAAGGCCCCGGTACCGATGAACATGAAGAGGTCCCAGGTCGACTCCCCAAACGTGTAGTACTCCTCTGACAAGAATCAGAAAGAAAGAAATGAAACACGGACGCTCTAACTAACGCCGCCTCTAAGTCGAATATCCCAAAGCTCCGCCTACCTAGCTAGCTAGCTGAGAAAACACGGCAGGTGTGTCCAGCCTGTGTCTGGGTGTTCAAGATGGACTCATCAACGTCTGCCACTTTGCTAGCAATCAGTTCCGTGATCCTTCGGCCACTTATGCGGCCGTCCGACTTGTCCGTGTTGGGCGACCCTGGTGAGAAAGAAGAAGATCGGATGTTGTGTACACTGGAGACCTCATGAGTCACCTCGGTATCTTTTGATGCCATTTTTGCAGGTCCTAGTGGAGATGGGGATGTGAATTCCGATGTGAAGGCTGCGTCCACGTCAATGCGACATAGTGAGGGCGCACCATTTTCGGCAATGATCCGCTGCAGTGTGGCCACGGCATCCTGCAATGCGGCGACATTATCTTCGAGATCATCGAAGCGCTCATCGATGGCGTCCAGCACATCTCCATTGTAGTTCGAAAAGCTGTTCTGCTTGCCAAATCCTGCCCCTTCCATGGTCCACCCCCGTGGCGCCGTGCGATCTACCACCGCGGGCTCTGCACGCCTCCCTTTCTTTAACCAAGCTTGGGCCGAGGCATCACGGACCAAAGCAGGCCGAACAACCGGGCGCAAAACGGTAAAACTGCCCGCCTCTGCCTCAACAAGGCCTCCCACACCCTTGGAACAAACGCCAAACTGAGTGCTTTCGGCCTTTTCAGTCGCCTTCGCAGCACCCAGAGCTGGACACCATCAGTCCTCTCGAATGATGGTGGGTGAAGACAGACGTGCAGAATCCTGCAGAGAGGAGAAGCTTTCTCTTGCTCTAACCCCGAAAGAGTGCTCTCCTGAAATAGCGCTCGGCGCACAGAATACTTAATGCTCGAGGTTGAGCAAGCACCACCTCCAACTCAGCAGTCGCGGCTCACGCATGGGGAGAGCCTCTCGGCGTCCGGAAATCCACAGCTTCCCTTCTTTCGCTTCGATCTTCGACTCTCGGTGCTTTGGGTGCTCGGTTCTCGGCATCTGAAGGGGAGCAGCCGTCTGTGCGCATCCTTCCAACACGGCTAGCATGGTGTTGAAAAGGGTGAAACCGGGCATGCGTTTGCAGCGTTCCGCGGACGTTGTATCCAGAGCAGGACTGATGCGTGTAGGCGATGAACCGTGCTTGGAAGCAAGGAGGAACTTTCAAGATCGGGAGTCAAAACCTGCTCTCAAAGTCCGTGCCTGCGCAAAGGGCCACGGATTCAGATCCAATGCCCTCTGATTCCTGATTCCGAAAGCACATTTGGCTATTCAGTGCTTTACAAAGCCCCCTGCCTCCTCCAATCCAACCGAGACGGCTTCTGAAACTCCAACAGACTGAATGAGCCCCAAGGCTCAACTAGAGCCTCAAAGAGGCATGACGGGAAGAGGGCAGGTGCGGAGCTACATAGCTAGGTCACTTCTCAACAACCCCTCTGCTCAGGACCAGAGCCTGGGAGAAA